TTTAATAAGGTACCGGTATTCAGTTATACTGCCAACTCTCCTGTAAAAGCGTGGCCCTAAATTATATTACTGCCGAGTGTGAGGTTGGGCCTTTCTCATACCTCTCCTACATAATTATCTATCTGGAAAATTTTCCTAATAGGTTAAAAAACTAAATCTAATTGTTAAATGTGTATTTCCCCGGTCAGTAGTGAAATTCATCATCTTTTCAGCCTTTTATATTTCTTCTTTTATGCATATTTTTAGTTGCCTTTTTATTGATTTGTAGGAACTCTTTCTATGTGAGTCCTTGGTTTTACATATAGCATAGTGTTTACATATAGGATATGGTATTCTGTATCAGTGTTTCTCTGTTATTTGTCAGAGAGTCTATGGAATTGTTTGTCTTCTTTTCTTTTAAGAGAATTTTTTGCTACAGGACACATGTGCTTGAAGAGAGAGAGACCGCCCCTGGGGGGGATGGCCACACCACAATACCTTCTCTTCCTCTCTCCTCTTGGGATTTTGGGCACACATGCACACATGCCCGGTATGAGTTCCAAGCCGGCAAGTCCAGGACTTGAACTGTGGTTGGCTATGTGGGAGTCCAGTGATGTAACCACTATGCCATCTTCCGGTCCAGGAGTTATCTTATAAAAGCAGTTGGTGTGGATCAAATCATTTGTTTAAACGTTGACCGCCTTAATCAAAGTTACTGCAGTTGAATCGCTTTCTCAGACAGCCCTTTGGTTATGTTGGTTAACATGTCATTGATACTTGCCTCTCTGCTGCTTTCCACAGAAAGGGGAGTGTGTTTGCCTACAGTGTCCCTCTGGATACTCTTTGTTTATATCGAAGCAGCAATTAGATTTAAAGATCTCAAAAATTTTCATGTAGACCTTTGTCGTCCATTTGCTGCTCACTGGTAAGTATCTATGTTCCTAATCTATAATTCATTTCAATGTTGAATGGTAAGTTCAACTGTAAATTTTTAAAAGATTTTGTGCCATAGTGCATGTCCACTCACTCAAGAGAGGGATAGAGAGAGGGAAGGTGAGAAATTATCCCCCCTGGGGGTTGGCTAAAACCACAGTCCCTTTTCCTGCATTCTGCTAGGATTTTAGATGCATACACACACACCTGTTGTGGTTTTCAAGCTGCTGGGTCTGGGGCTCGAACCACCATGCGGGAGTCCAGCACCTTAACCACTCCACCACCTCCTGGTTCTAACTGTAAATTTTTTTTCTCTGAGATTTCACATGAACCCAAAAAGCAGTGGTAGTAAAGAATGCGAGCACCCCTTTTAGGCAAAGGAGTATTTGAGTAGAGCCCTAGTGACTGTGTTGCTTGAGCATGTCCAAGTCCCCAGCCTTGATTTTCTTGCCTGCTTCATGGGGACCTGGGACAGAGGAAATAGAGCCACATATTCGAAGTGTGACTTGGTGCCTGCACAGACGTCTGAGCTGTTAGCCGCTCCTAGCACGGTGCGTCACGGCTTCAGACCGTTAGTATGGACTCTGGCTATTTCATGAAGCTTGAAACAACCGAGAATTTCACTAGCCTATTTATAAAAGTAAAATATTAGTGATTTTAAAGTAATATTGTTTCTTCTATGAAACATAAGTGAACATTAAATCACCATCTAATAAATGTTGCTTTTTTTTGGAGAGGTTTTTCTTTTTTTTTTTTTTTTTTTTTTGCTATAGGGTATGTGCGCTCGCCAGACAGAGAGACAGAAAGCGAGAAATCACCCCCCTGGGGGGATGGTCACGCCACAATCCCTTCTCCATTCTCCTCTCAGGAGCTTGGGCACATACGCACACGTGCCCGGCGTGAGTTTTAAGCCACCGGGTCTGGGACTCAAACCGCGGTTGGCTACGTGGGAGTCCAGCAACATAGCCATAACGCTAACTGCTGGTCCCAATGTTGCTCTTTTTTTTTTTTTAACTTAATTTTATTTCATAATTTTTTATTTACTTTTTTTTTTTTTTTTTTTTTTTTTTTTTTTAAAAAAGTTTTATAAGGCACATGCACTTGCCAGAGAGATAGAGAGACAGAGACAGAAAGTGAGAAATTACACCCCTGGGGGGATGGCCATGCTGCAATCCCTTCTCCCCCAGTCTCCTCTTGGGATTTTGGGCATACATGCACACACACACACCTAGCATGAGTTTCGAGTCTGGGACTTGAACCCCAGTCAACTACGTGGGAGTCCAGAGACATAACCATTACGCCATCTGCTGGTTCCAGTTTCCTATCTACATTTAATTGTACATCTCTATGGCATATGATATGGTTTTTCAAAGCATGTGTGCTGTTATACATACCAAATTTTGTAATATTTTGGCAAAATATAAGCAGGAATCAACTTTTAAAATACCATTTTCATTATTTTCAGTTCCTTCACAAGCAAGTGAATTAAATAAATCTGGTCAATAAAACTTGTCACTTCAAATTTGAAGTGAGGTAACATTTAGAATAATTATAAACTGGTAAGTTTTTATTTTATTTTTTGATTTTTTTGAGAGATTTTCACTGTAGGGCGCGTGCGCTCGCCAGACAGACAGAGAGAGACATAGAGACAGAAAGCGAGAAATCACCCCCCAGGGGGGATGGTCACACCGCAATCCCTTCTCCTCCATTCTCCTCTCGGGATCTTGAGCACGCACGCACACGTGCCCGGCGTGAGTTTTTTTAAGCCACCGGGTCCGGGACGTGAACCGCGGTCGACTACGTGGGAGTCCAGCGACATAGCCATTACGCTAACTGCTGGTTCCCTAAACTGGTAAGTTTTAATGTCAGTGAAGCTTAATGGGGTTTGACAGTGTTTTCAGAGGCTTTTGAAATTATCAGGCAGGCTGATGAGTTCGATGAAAATATTTCAACTTTCTATCCTAGAGATTAGAGTTTTGAGCACAGCTGGTTTAATTGGGTGCTACAAACCAAATGTTGGTGATGATAATATCAGATGCTTATCTCAGTGATTCTTGAACCCATGGATGACAGTGTTCATGAACTAATTTTCCAGGAATAGCTGGTGACGGTACCCCTGAGGCAGCAAGATTAAGTTAAAGTGGCCGCCTGAATTTGACCCTGCCTCCTAGTATTAAAAACACAAAGGGACCTGGGCTTTATGCTCACGTCTCAGATGGGTCATGTCCACAGCTCTGGTTGCTTTTCTTAAAAAGAATAATAAAGGAAAGGTTTTTAAAAGTAAAACAAAACAAACAAACAAAAAACAACCTAGTGATGTCCTTTTGATTTTCTTTAACATTTATATTGTTTGCTTGTGGCCACCCTAAAATTTCTACCGTTTTAGTTCTTAAAAGCGTAGAGATGTCTTAAGTTCTAATGCGTGAGGCAGTTCAGCAGCTCTTCCAGGACGGGGGCCGCTGTTGTGCCAGTCACGTGGTGACCCCTTGAGTTACTCTCCGAGCACCGAAGTCTGATGAGAGTGTCTCCTTGTGATCTAACCACCCCTTTGTTCCCTGGGGGTTTGTGTACATGTCAGCTGCCTCCCCACCAGACTACATCTCCCTGTGTGTTTGCTGAGTGCTGTCCTCCACTGCCATGTCCAAGTGGGATTTATTTTTAACTCTGAGAACTTACATTTCAATTTGAAATCCGAAGCATCCTCATGTGCTGTGTGTACGTCTTGTCCTTTCAAACTTGGAGTTACTGGTTGACTGTCTTCTTTCTAGTATTGGGTACCCTGTGGTGACTTTGGGCTTTGGCTTCAAAAGTTATGTAAGCTACAAAATGCGGTTAAGGAAGCAAAAAGAAGTGCAGAAAGAGAACGAATTTTACATGCAACTGCTTCAACAAGCCCTCCCTCCAGAGCAGCAGATGCTACAGAAGCAAGAGAAGGAGGCTGAGGAAGGTAGGTCTCTGCTCTGACGCTGTTGGCTCAGTAGACCGGTCGCTGTCTCCCAGTACAGTCTTCTTTTTTGGAAAAATAGGATTTTAGATTTTCCTGCTTTCTGATATTCTTCCTCAGGGCCGTTGTTTTGTTTGGTCCTAAATAGAGTGTGGATTGGTGAAGACCATGTATTTTAAATATGTTTATTTTATTTTATTATTTGTATGCATTTTACTTTATTTTTAAAGGATTTTTGCCATAGGGTGTGAGTGCTCTCTGAAGAGACAGTGGAGGGAAAGTGAGAGATATACCTCCACTGGCAGGGGGCGGGGTGATGGCCACCTCATAATCCCTTCTCTATTCTCCTCTTGGGACTTTGGGCCCACACGCACAAGTGCCTTGCATGAGTTTCAAGCCACCGGTCTGGGACTCAAAACCACTGTTGGCAGTGTGGGACTCCAGCGCCTTAACCACATGCTACCTGCTGGCCCTGCATTTTACTTTTAAATCTTATTTAATAGTTCATTTGTTATAAATATTTTGGGATATTTATTCTCAGCAGCAAAATAGTGTGTAATTATGTAAATTTGTAATTGAAACAAGCCAGGAATCAAGTATAAGCGAGACAGATGTGTGGAGACGGAGGAGGGAGGATTCGCATCTTCTGAATAGAGCACACACAGTCCTGCTCTAACTGGTTCACGGGATGGACTGTGGGTTTAAGTCGAGTCTTCTCTCATGGGTGTTTAATGGAAACAGCTGGATTGACAGCAATACCAGTTTACTTGGGTTTGGGAGTTGGATGTTTGAAGTCATTTTTAGTAACATATATCAAAATCATTTTCACTGGTGCAGTGTAAATATATCACAAGTCAAAAATTCTGTTGTATACATACATACAATTTTGTCTGTCAATTAAATTTTTTTTTAATTTGAGAAGATTTTTCTCTTCAAGTAGACTTTCACAGAGTGGAGTATCTAGATCTGATACAGAAAATTCTTTGGAGTGGCCTTGGTAAATGCTACAGACTTATTTATTATTCCCTCAAGTCTAGAATCAGGGTAAAGAACAGGTGTCCTGTGTCCTAAAACCCCTACTCTTTGCTTAGCTTCCTCTTTTGAGCGCAGTTAACTGTCAACGTGTTTAACCCAGGCATCTTTTAAAATACGGCCTGTCTGGTGGATTACCTGCCTTTGTGCTCTCACCTGGCAGTCGTCAAGTCCGATCTGACTGATAGAGGGAGTATGACTTAATTATGAAATCCTAGTCATGTTTTCAAAGCAAAACCTTTCATGGCTCGCTGTTCATAAATGTGGTGCTTTCCTAAATGTGCAGCTTCTCAAATGTATTTGCATTTGCTTCTCGACATTAGTATAATGTGCTGTGGTTATTGCTTCTAAATGAGTTTGCAAATTAATGTAGTGAATTCCTAAGTGTAGATAATACAGTCTGTTGAACCAATCTATTGTTTTTTTAAAAAAAAACGAAATATTCCAGTGTGGGTTTTCTTGTTTGTTGGTTTGTTTTTGGTATTGTAGCAGCCAAGGGGTTACCTGATATGGATTCCTCGATCCTTATACATCACAATGGAGGTATCCCCGCCAACAAAAAACTCTCCACAACTTTGCCAGAGATAGAATATCGAGAAAAGGGGAAAGAAAAGGACAAAGATGCCAAAAAGCACAACCTTGGAATAAATAACAACAATATTCTACAACCTGTAGACTCTAAAATACAAGAGATCGAGTATATGGAAAACCATATCAACAGTAAAAGGTTAAATAATGACCTTGTGGGAAGTACAGAAAATCTCTTGAAAGAGGACTCATGCACTGCTTCCTCAAAAAATTACAAAAACGCCAGCGGGGTTGTGAACTCCTCACCACGCAGTCACAGCGCCACGAATGGGAGCATCCCTTCCTCCTCGGGTAAGAACGAGAAGAAGCAGAAGTGCACGAGCAAGAGCCCGAGTGCACACAAGGACTTAATGGAGAACTGTATTCCTAATAACCAGCTAAGCAAACCAGACGCGCTGGTGAGGTGAGTGTGTGCTGGGTCCTTCCCGGCACTTTCCAGCAAGCCTGGCACGCTCTCCACAAGCAGACACTCCTAGCTAGGCCTGGAGGGATTGTTTGTGAGCAGGTACTGTGACCAGGGGCGTTTGGGTGTTTGTTTTACAAGGTTTGTTGGCCACCTTGTGTCATTGTCTTAAAGCATTGACTTTTCAGCTCTTTCCAGTGTTGGGAATCAGAGGTGACAGTGTTTACTTTCCACATTTGACAAATTTACATGTCACTTGATTCTTCTAGTGGGATTGAAAGGCATGCCTTTAGCCCTGTGCTTTTCTGTTTGCATATCCAAAGTTCTTTTGGCATAGACACAAAAACAAGAGTTTTTGCCTTGTTCATGCAAATCTCTTCATTTGTCAAATAGATACAGATGCGGGCGGTGAGAAAGTTGGCTATGCCACACTGTGCTTGTTTTGTTTTGTTTTCCTGCACCGAAATGGGGATTATTTTTAGATAACGCTGGGAAAATTAGGTTCGAAAAGTAATCTCTTTCTAAAACGTAATAGACAAGTAAAATATTAGATGTGGATTTTCATCAGCAATGTTCCTTTTCTCATCTCTAATTAAAAGAATAGCACCGCTGTGTGACTATTGACCAGCTCAGACGTAATTTGATGTATTTCATATGACTTGTTAGGCAAACACAAATATGTTCCCTTTACTTCAGATCTTTAATCTGGAAGCTGAGATCTGAACTGGAGCTTTTCTTTTTATGCGTTACTCAAGAGGGCAGTTGTAACTCACCCCCTCCCACAAGTTATCTTATGTTCCTCTTCCTTTGGCTTGCTTAAAGGGAGACATTCCCAGTGTTATCAGTCGAATGAACTAGATTATTAATTTGTCCTGAGTTTCTGAATGGCAGGTGGATCGTGGGACATGTCTTTGGGTTCTATTACTACAGGCTCTAGGGGCCTCAAAGCTCCCAGGTGGCTTTCAGAAGCACACAGGTGCTGCTGCAGGCTGGCATCCATGGCCTTTGTCACAACATTCCACCTGTCGCGTCCTGCAGAGAAAACACTCTGCAGAGAACCCCCATCCAGATGTGCATGGTTCAAAGACCATTAGTTGACCTTTTATTTCAAAAGGAGTACCTGCAAATTCACTCAGTGCTGTAACTGAAACATCTGCCATAGCTATTTCACATCCTTTCTCCTGCACGACTTTAGTAGCAGCAGTCAAGCCAAAACAGTTTTCCTCTGTTGATTGTTGCAGAGAGATGAGTCAAGACTCAGTCTGTGACACTGTCTCCCTTGGGCCCCAGTCCTGATGTTGATTGACTGCTTGACCTGCCTTAAGAAGAGAAGTTCAAGGACCCAGATGCCAATTGTCCAGTAAACTGGGGGTGATGACTTAGGTCCGGTGCCCTCTGTGCCTGCTCCTGAGGGGTACGCCTCTTTCTGTAGTCTCTAATAAGTACTCTGCCTTGACCTGAAGGGCTCCGGGGTATTACTCTGTTTTAGAGAACTACGTGCTGTCAAATAAATAAATGGAATATATTAGATTTAGTTTTGTAAGCATTGTAGAATTACCTTCAGCTTTTACTGTAATATAAAAAGATTAGAGGATGCCTCAAATATCCAAAAATAGAAAATTTTCAATTACAGTTCATCCATTTGATGGGCCTTTTTAAGACAAATGACAAAATCATACATTTGAGCCATATTGAAGAATACAGGAAAGTACTCAGGATTTAATCTTTCATGATAAAAAGAGAAAGCAATGTATTTAAAAACAATTATTTTTCCTAATATACACAGGAAAGGGATCTGAAAGAAAAGGAACCAAAGTGTTAACAGTAGTTGTTCTCATGATAGTATTTATTTGATCGGGCATCTGTTTTTTGTTTTACTTTCCTAGATTTTCAGAGTTTTCTGTAATGAGCAGTAATGAATGTGCTTAAAAGGAAAGGTATCTGCCTGAGCACATTACCCAGCGTGGTTGCAGGAGGCCTTATCACATCTCCTCTTGCCCACGGCTATCTCCTCTGTTTCCTCTTGCTTGACTTCGTGTGTGTTGATGAATATTCATAAGGCCGTGATGGATCCGAAGCTGACATGTTCGAGTTGGTAGCTGGAGAGTGAGTGGGCTTGCTGCCTTCAGCTGTAGACAGCCGGGCGCATTGGTATCTAAGGCACCTTTAGTGCAGATGCCCGGGCTGTGGACCTTCTCTTCCGCAGGCATGCCCAGGGTTATGCACGGTTCCAGGCTGCTCGTAAATTCCACAGAGACGCTTCAGTGATAGGCTTGATCTACCTTTTTAGAAATGTTCAAGGAAAGTTTGAAACCCAGTGCTGGATTAATTAGCCAGTAACTCTCCTGTAATAATAAATTAGTTATGGCACATTCTGCAGCATAACATGTCTGTCTCAACACTAGGGTTGAGAACTGTGATTTTTGAGGAACCAATTTGGTGATTTTTAAGGGAAATCCTCATTATTACTCCACTTTTTTTTGTCTTTTTCTTTTTTTATTTCCTTTTAAGATTTTTGCTTATAGAGTGCTTGTGCTTGTGGAGAGTTTGGAGAGAGACAGAAAGAACGAGAAAGTGAGAAATCACCCATGGAGAGATGGCCACACTGGGACCCCTTGTTCATTCTCTTAGGATTTTAGGTGCACCTGTACCCAGCGCGTTTTTCAAGCTACCGAGTCCTGGACTTGAACTGTGCAGCTGGCCATGGGGACCCAGCGCCTTAACCCCGACGCTACCACTTTGAAGGAAAATTCTTATAGATTGGGCTATCTTTCTGTGTGGCTGTCCTACAGCTGTTTGGTGGCCATTCCTACGAAGGGGCGAGCGGTCCTGTATGTTTTTTCTCGAGCTCTCCAAGCCCCACAGGTGTTTCCTAGTATGCTGTATACCACAGGTTAACAAACACCACCACACAGGCCCGATGTGGCCCGCTGCTGTGTTTGTAAAGATACGTGGTTGGGTCACAACCGTTCACTCATTTACATAGGGTCAGCGGCTGCTTTCCTGCAGCAGTGGAAGAGTTGAGGAGCTGTGACAGAACAAGCGGCCTGCACACCAGAAACGCATACTGTTTGGTCTCTACAGAGAGGTGTGCTGACCCCATCGTATGGGCGTTGCGTGTTTCGAGGACCCTTACCAGATCGTGAGCTCTGGAGGGCAAGGCCGGGTCTGTTCATTTTTCTCTCTTTAGGAAAGTAAGATGCACAGTGAGTTGACGTGTTGAAAAGCTGAGTGGATGCTGAAGGCCCTGATCTGTTAGGATCAAGAGCATGTAGAGAGAAGGTGCGGGGTGGATAGTTAAGGTAAGGGGTTACGGGGAAGGTGGGCAGTTTGGGGCCCTCTCCGGAAAAGTCTGGGGACGTGGATTGGCTTTGGTGAAGAGCTCCACAGATAGTCTGTTCCCAAGAAGTGGTTTGAGAAGCGCATGTCTCAGAAAATGATCCTGTTTCTGCCAACTTGATTCTGAAATTTTTTATCCAAGATGTTTGAAAACAGACTTATATTATTGGTAGCCAAAAATGTTCTTACTTCCAATGTGGAAACAATTCTTTTTTTTTTTTTTTTTTTTTTTGAGGGGGTTTTTCTATATG